GGGTAGGATCTCATGACTCAGATCATGACCTCAACCAAAATCAAGAGTCAGACACATAACCAGCTGAGCCACCCAGGTGCCCCAAACTCTTTGTTGTCTCAGCTCAGGCTGATCCATGCCCTAATTTCCCTGAAGAACAGGGCCACTGGCTTTACTGTAAATTTCCAGCTCTATCTGCCCTTCTCTTGGCTCAGAACCCCTGGGCTGCACAGCTCCCAGGAGTTGTCTCCAGCCCTTTTAGTAGGTGGGGCCAGAACACACTCTCCACAGGCAGGTGGGGCTGTGATTCCGCTCCCTCGCCTGAATGGAAAAGAGAATGCTGCTCCAAGCTACCCTCAGTTTCCCCAATAGGCTTTCTGGTTGAGAGAGGCCTGGAGTTGCCCCCAGTCATCTGTGACTCAATCCCACTGCCTCCATACCCAGTACTGGCTTTGCTCTGGGGGCAGCAACTCTACCTGCCCACCTCCCAGCTTGAGTACCGCTGGGCAACGCAGCTTCCAGGAGTTGTCACCGGCCTTCTGGTTAGGTGGGGCTGGAAGGCACTGTCCGCCGCAGTGGGTGGGGCTATGACTCAGCATCTGGCCCAGGCGTGGGCGAACTGGGCTCTAGGGCTGGCAAAACTCCTAGTTTGACGGTCTGAATCAGGCAGATCTCCACTCCGGTGTGTTCCCTGGTCACAGTGCACCCACGACTTCGTTCTACAGATGAGCAAAGCCTCCGGGTAGGATTACTTCGTGGACACTGCAGGTACGTACTGGATCTGCCCAGATCCCTGTGCTGGTTGTTGCAAGCCCCTCCCCTCTTCTCCACTCGGATTCCCAGTGGTTGAGCCTGTAACCTCTGTAGAGCGAGAGGCTCAGAGGCGACCTCTCTGCGTGCTGCTGCCCTGTCCTGGGGAGGGGCAGTACGGCCAACGTGTAGCTGCTTCTCTTACCGGCTAATGCAGTCTGACTTGGTCTCTGTGGCTCAGGGGTGCTTCAGCCTCATCCCGTGTTCTAGGATTCTCTCAGTGCTGTCTTGTTCTTAAATAGATGTTAGTTCTTGTGAGGGGGAGTGAGGTCAGGAACGACCTATATTGCTACCTTGGTCCATGCATGATATTTTCAACAGTAGCTGTGAGTTTTACCTTTAATTAAATCCCTAGATGTGGAATTTTTGGTTCAGGAAATATGAATGTCTTCAGGACTTTTTTTCTTCCTTCCTTTATTTTTATTTTTTGTATAATTCTAAATTATGCTCTGGAAAATATTGGCATAGCAATTTATAGCATTTCCACAGTGTAGGAAGGAGTACCTATCTTAGTTGTTGTTGGAAATTAATGGTTTTTTAACTTTCAAAAACTGTGTTTTGAAAAGGCATCCTTAATTTGCTCTCCTCCTTTCCTTTTTTATTTTTTGTAAGTCTGTGTGCTATAGTGATTGAACTCCAGAGCCACGTAGACCTGGTTTCCAGCCTTCACGCTACCATTTATATAGCCTTTTGATAAAAGAGCAATGGCTTCATTTCTTTGCTTTATCAAATGCTGATATTTTCAACCAGCCTTATAAGGTTGTAAGAGTCATTTAAGAAAAGTTCTAATAAAGGTCCCAGTGTGTAGTATATACTCAAAAATGAATACTTATTTTTTCTGAAGTTAAAACTTTTTAATGCAATCACTAGTTATTGTTCCCATTTGAGGAACAAGGGAACTGTTTCTAACATTTTATCATCAGTGATGATGGCTGATAATCCTTGTCACATTAAGGAAGTATAGGAAGTATCTTTTTCTTTTTGTTTTAAGGATGTTTATTATGAGTGGGCAATTCAGTTATTTTATGATTAACATATTTTCTGCTGTAAGATTTTCCTGCATATCTGGAATAAACCTACAACTATCGCTCATTTCATGTTTCTTTTTTATTTAGTAATTTTTATAGGACGTGGGTATAATTTATTTTTAGCAGCTATCAGCCGTTTTCAGCTGCGAAATGGAATGCTGTTAGACTTCACTGTGGGCTTTGAAGAGTGAACTCCTCTCTGGCTCTTCTTTCTGCATTCATGTTAACAGTAGTTGTTGAAGATGGAAGGGCACACAGATGATCTGGCACTCCTCTTCCTCATGCAGGGAGCAGAAATCCAGTAACACATTCAAAGTCCCAGAGCCGGGACTGAAAACCTCATCTCCCTCCTGACTTGTGCCTTTTCCTCTGAATATCCTGTTTGGTTTTCCCAGGGTCAATGTCTTTTAAAGCAAGAAGACTGAAGCTGCTTTTTGTTGAGAAACTACCGCTCTTTGAGCTTTCTCAATTCACTGAGGGCATGGGTAGCCAGTGTCTGTGGGTGCTGAGCCATCCTGGGGGCCAAGCCAGAGTGTTCCTGTCCCCAGGCAAGAGGAAGATTCGCGTAGTGGGGGACTCACAGACACCTGCCTGAGTCTTGACACTGGATTGCGTCAGGAACGCTTGGGGCTCTGCTTCTTGCCCCCTTGGTACCTCCTCGTACCTAATTCTTCATTCTTAAACCTATTTTTACAGTTGTTTGCTTCTCTTAAAATTGAGAAGCAAGCAGCACTTGATGTAAAATCCAGAAAAACAATATAGTTTTTGCATCAGTTTTATAGAATGACTACTTTTGTTTCTATTGATGTTTCCAAGACTCTGCAAAATCCCGAGGTTATTTTCTGTATCAGCAAAGAATCCGTTATATTCAGAAGAATTTTAGTAAGGTGTGAGTTCTGTTGTACTTCTGTTAGAAATTAGTAATTTGAGATACGTATGGAAAGTCTGAGCAAACTAGGAGTGCCTAGCGCCCCAGCTATTCTCTATAGTGAGTAAATCAAGAAGAGTTTGCAAACAAAATGTTTAAAACAAGGTCAGTAAATAAAATTGATCAGGTGTGTAAGTTACAGTATTAGTGGTTTCCTGGAGCTCTCGTAGCAGATTACCGCAAGCTCAGCGCATTGGTTCTCACGCTTCTGGAGGCGCCAAGATGGACAGGCTTCACTGAGCGACACCAGGATGTTGGCAGGGTCTTGCTCTCCCCAGAGGCTGTTGCGGGGAGTCTGTCACCACACCTTTTCCAGCTTCTAGAGCTGCAGTTCTTGCATTCCTTGCTTGTCCTCCCTTCCTCCAGTTTTTAAGCCAGTATGGTAGCATTTTGCTTCAGTCCCCACATTGCTTTCTTCTTCGCTCAAACCACCCTTTGCCTGCCTCTCAAGGATACAAGTGATTACAGGTAGGGACCACTTGAATAATCCTCAGTGATCTCCGCATATCAAGATCTTTGATTTAGGGGCACGTGGGTGGCTTAGTTGGTTAAGTGTCAGGCTCTTGATTTTGGCTCAGGTCATGATCTCATGGTTCCTGAGACTGAGCCCTGTGTCAGGCTCCATGCTAACAGTGTGGAACCTGCTTGGGATTCTCTCTCTTCCTTTCTCTCTGCCTCTACCCTGCTTGTGTTCTCTCTCTCTCTCTCTCTCTCAAAATAAATAAACAAGGAAAAAAGTTATAATCTCATCTATAAAGTCTCTTTTGCTATATAAGGGAACATTCTCATGTTCCAGGGATTAGGACGGGGATGTCTTTGCCATCCATATTCAGCTGACCACCACGGTTATAATCGTAAAGGCAACCTCAACATGCTCTTCATGTTAACTCAACATGCTCTTCACAGGGTCTTCCTGTTAGATACCTCCTTCCCTCTCCCTTCTACTCCATGAAGATCTCTTATCTCTCCCTTTCCTTGTTCTGTAGATTCCCACCCACAGCTCAAATGAGTCATTTCCTCAATCTAGGGAAATGTTAGTTTGGTAAACTTCTGTACATGGTATCAGAGAAGGCAGGGGCTGCTTTCCCTGGTATCTGCTTCCCGCCAGCCTGCTCTGCTGCATCTACAGCTAACTGATCGGACCCTTCACTGCCTGTCACCGTCACTCCTGACCTCTGTGTGCCACACTTCAGGCTCTTCCTGAAATAGAGACATCTAGAGGAGCACTGGAAAGACAGGTGCTGGCCCTGAGTTCCGCCTTAGCTTTTCAGTTCCTTAGCCTGGATACATCACTTCACTTCTGTGAACTTCCCCCATGGCAAAAATGGGGAGTCAATAATAGGTCTTTCTAAAGACCTACTGTGCTTTAACCTGCTTGAAGACTCTCACATCCAGCCCAACCCTGACTGCTCAGAAGTATTCCTCCTCTGGGCCCTACCTAGGCCACCAGTGTTGTGGCCACATGCCCTACATGCCCAATATGTACTGTTTGACACCTGGCCTTTGAGTCCTGTAACCAGAGGCAGCCATGGGCAGGCACCTGCTGCCCAGTGCTCTTGTCCAGAACAAAGGGCAAGAAGGCCTAGGCTGGTGGGCAGCAGGAGGTTTGGGTAACATGACCCTGGATTTAGGCTTTGACACAAGCACAGGTTTCATAGAAGGAGAATTGAAGGTCAAAAGTCCTTGTTTTTAAGGCATTTGTACCATTTTGCATGTGGTTTGTGATTTATCTCTTCAGGCTGCAGACTATCCTAAAATTGGGTTCCTCTCTGCCACATGATAAAAGCATTCAGCCATCTTTTTTGGGTGTAACCTTGTGATTAGACTTATCATTTTGAATGGTTTTTAAACTATAATACATATAAGGCCACACAACATGCCAAACGATACAGAAATAGAAGCCAATTCAGTCCTTTCTTGGTCCCACCCCCAGGATGTAACTCAGGTAAGCTGTCAAGTGTACGACCTTCCACGCTTTCTCTGTGCTCACAGATAAGTGTGCACATAGCAGTCCCCTTGCCTCCCCCAAGCCCCCAAAGCAGGATTATATTATTAATATCATTGTTTGGGGTTTTTTTTCATGTAACATTTGGAACACACAAAATAATTTTGAGGGCCCCAAAAAGAAATAGAGTGTTGTGTATGTACCCATTTGCCCACTGAACCAAAGTGGTGACTATTAATAACAGAGTGAAATACAGCCCAGCGTGTAAGCCTATACTTATGTGATACTGACTTAAAATATATTGTTTCAGGCTCGCCATCATGGATACTCTTTCAGAAGCAAATGGCACCTTTGCCTTAAGTCTGCTGAAAAAGCTGGGTGAAGACAACTCAAAAAATGTGTTTTTCTCGCCCATGAGCATCTCTTCTGCCCTGTCCATGGTCTTCATGGGCGCCAAGGGAAACACTGCCACCCAGATGGCCCAGGTATGCACCTAAAGCCTTTTCTGGGCGACTGTAAATGCTGTTAATTTGTCAGTTGGGCTAGTCCTCCATTTTCATCCCTGGATTTGCTCTTGACATCCCTCTGCTAGTGTCACAGGATGGGGACAGAGAGTTAGTCCTGTACGAGTGAGCACTCTGGAGTGGGTGTCTCGGATCTGTTAGGGAGGAAGTGGTATGCTCCATTTAGAAGAATGAGTGATTTTACTATGCCCTGATGACCGATTATACCTGAGTTTGAGTTTGTGAGTAGAGGTAAAGTCACAAGGTCCAAGTTGAGTTTGGTGATATTTTTTGGATCTTGTCACTTGCTTTTCAATTATTAGAAATTTTTCTTTTAGTTCTCTCATTTAAGTGTAAAACAGTTGTGGGGTTTCTATGTGTCAATTTATAATTGACATAAATGATATAAATGATAACATGCACAAACATGTTTGAGGCAGAACTCTCTGTGTTGGCCTGGGATGAGAGTGTGGCTGACAATGTCCTTAGACTACTCAGAAGTCCCGTTGTCTAGCTGAGAGGGTCTGTGAGGCACTTAACCTGCCTTCATCTTTGTCGGGTTTTAATAAAGTGGACTTTGATCCTGGCTTGAAGCCTTGGGCTTGATCTTTGTTCTGAGGCCACTTCTCACGTTTAGAATCATTTGCCAGCTGGAGAGGCTGAGAATCAGAAACCTTTTAATTTTCTACTCACCAAGTCCTAGGTTGGAAAAATTTCCTTTAAATTCTGCTTGAAAATGGAACAGTTCCTTCTTCATCTCATCTTTCCCTTCCTGTACTTCATCTGAGGCAGCTACAAGCCCTACTCTTTCTGGACATCTACTTAGCCAGAGGGAAACGCCCACCCTTCCCCGTCACTGCAGGTTGCAGTCTCTCCTTTCTTCTGCTGGGACATGCCAGGAGCCCCTTTTCTCCAGCCACTGCTAGAGATTTTTTCACTGGCCTTCTGGCCTCTGCTTGCCATCTCCTTGCTCTCCTTCTTCCCAGCCTTTGCCTGCTGCCTGGGCCCCAAGTCACTGCCATGTTTTGGATGTTGTTGGGAAAGAAGTCTGTGTCTGGATTGCTACATGAACTTCTATGACTACCAGACAAACCATCCCAGACTTGGTAGCTGGAAATAACAAAGGCTGATGACTTCTCAGATTCTGTGGTCTGACTCACATGGCATCAGCTGGGATGACTCATGATCCAGGAAAGCCTCTGTCACGTGTCTGGGACCTCCATTCTCCTATGGGTAGTTTCCCCCCATGTAGTGTCAGCTCTCTAGGACTTTCCATGGGGCCTCTAGAGGGATAGCCTGGGCTTCCTCACATCATGGTGGTTGGGGTACAAGAGAGTGAATATGGAGCTACGAGGCTTTGTAAGGCCCAGGCCTGGAATAGTGTCCCTTCTCCTGCATTCTGGTGGCCAGACCCACTCACAGCACCAGCCAGACCCAAGGATGGAGGGGAGAGGCCAGACCTTTCAGTATCAGGAGCGGCCTGTGTTTGCAGAGATGGGAGGACTGGTTGGCAGCTTTATTTGCAGACAGACTATGGAGCACATAGAACACAGTTTGCAAAGGGGCACTGCCACTCACACCAGGGCTGGCAGTGCTCTGACTCCCTGCGGAAAGTGCTGGAGAAGGGCAGACTGGGTGGCTTTCGAGATACTTTTTGTCTTCAACTGGATGTATCTTCTTTTAAGCTCTAGTTAGGATCTGTACAGCTCAAAGGCAGAGTTTGGTGTTGTATCCATTTCCTGCAATCAAGGCACATTGAAGTTGTGCATTTGTATTCTGTTTTTGATTCCAGGCACTTTCTTTAAGTAAGAGCAGCGGAGGAGGTGACGTTCACCAAGGGTTCCAGTCTCTTCTTACGGAAATCAACAGGACTGACACGCGGTACTTGCTTAGAACTGCCAACAGGCTCTTTGGAGAGAAGTCTTATGATTTCCTCTCAGTAAGTCATACTTGCTGTTTTTGACTAAGAAAGTGAAGACACCGAGGCCGTGGGAAGGAGAAGTCACACAGCGGGTTATGAATTCATACACTTGCGCATGAACTCAGGTCTTCAAGTACTAACTTCATGCATTCCCTTAAACCCTGTTTCATTTTAATCTTCTATAAAATGAGCCTCATAATGAATAATGTCCAGATTTTTGTGAGGCTAATGAGACAGTTATAAAAGAACTAACATGGAGCAAACACAATTCAAAGTGAATTGACTGAAACAAAGAAGTGATCAAAATGAGTATTTCTAATCATTGTTTTCAACATATCAATAATTTTTTATGCATTGTGATACTTGTTCAACCTTTTACACATGTAAATATTTCTATACTTTTTTTCCAGTGCAGAATTTTTGTAAAGTTATTTGTCTAATTATACTGGTTTTGTTTATTTATAGTGCTTTAATGCTTTTTTTTTCATTTTTTAAAAACTACCCAAGTAGTATGTGAGTATGTGAGTATATGAGTACATGCATGTTGCTTGATGACTGTATTCTTGTTACATAAAAATGCAAATAAAGCAGTCAAAGTCAGAGTCCTCACAGCTGCTTCCACACCTCATCATTCCCCTCCCCAGCATAGAGCTTTTATAGATGCGATGTGTATCCTCCAGACATATACAAATCTGTTGTGTGGGTTTTTTTCTCTACCTCACGTCACTATACCAAGATATTATTTTGTAACTTGTTTCTTTTTGCCCAACACTGTGTCTTAAATTCTTTGCATATATGAGGATCTTTCTCACTCTGTTTAACTGGTATCTGCTATTCTTAAGAATGGATGTACTAAAGCATACTTAGTATGCCATTCCCACACTGATGGGCATTCAGTGAAAGTTAGTGTATAATGACTCCCGTGCCCTATGTTCATGTGTTACTCCAAGATGGATTTGTATCAGGGAGGAAGGGAGTGAAGCTTTGAAGCTATAGCAAATACTGAAATTGTCCAGAGTACTGTGGCCAATTTACGTTCTCTTTAGGGGTACCAGCAGAGTGCTCATTTCCACTTTTCATCATCAATACTGCATGTTGTTAACCTCTTAAATTTTTATTATTAAGAGATTGAACAACTTTCCTTATGTTTATTGAACATTTGTATCTTTTCTGCAAATTTTCTTTACACACTTTTTATTGGGTTGCCTTTTTCTTACTGGTTTATTCTTTTTGTATGTTTGGGATATCAATCTTATTCTATCAGATGATTTTTTTCAATTTTTAAACTTGTTGCAGACTCACTGTTTTAAAATATTTAGAATAAAGTAAATGTAGTCAAGCATGAGGTCAAATAATGGTAAGATTTGTTCACTGCGGTGTGATTTATTTTTTTACAACCTGTTTTACTATTTTTATCAGTCTACTTCCTCGGCCATTGCCCCATCTCTTTATATGCCTTTGGCATAAAGAAGAACAAAACTTCTAATAAACACAAAAATTGGGTGATTTTCTTTAATTTACTTTCTTTTCTGATGGGTATCTTTAAGAAATCATTGGTGTTTCAAATCTTATTTTGATATTGAAATATAAGATAAAGGGTTTAGAAGCGCTTCTCAATTATTTCTTATCAATTTAGTGTTCCAAGAATCCAGTACCAATCACAACGAATAATTAGATGTTCCCTCAGTCTGATTAGTCATTGCTTATAAAATAGTAATTTAAATAGCAAACAGTTATTTTCAAGTGTGTTTATTTATTTTTTTTTAATTTTTTTTTTAATGTTTTATTTATTTCTAGGAGAGAGAGAGAGAGACAGCGTGAGCAGGGGAGGGTCAGAGAGAGAGGGATTCACAGACTGAAACAGGCTCCAGGCTCTGAGCTGGCAGTCAGCACAGAGCCTGACGCGGGGCTCGAACCCACGAACCGCGAGATCATGACCTAAGTGAAAGTCGGACGCTTAACCGACTAAGCCACCCAGGCGCCCCAAGTGTGTTTAAAAGTTATAGAAATCAAAACAAAACAGATGAACATAGGGGAAGGGAAGGAAAAATAAGATACAAACAGAGAGGGAGACAAACCATAAAAGACTCTTACATACAGAGAACAAACCGAGGGTTGTAGAGGAGTCGGGGGGCGGGGTGTGGCATAAAGAGATGAAGGGCATCGAAGAGGGCACTTGTTGTAAGGAGCTCTGGGTGTTATATGTAAGTGATGAATCACTAAGTTCTATTCCTGAAATCATGACTACACTGTATGTTAACTAACTTGGATTAAAAAAAAAAGTTGTAGAAATCACCCAAGGGTGGGATGGGTTATCAACACATAAGTGCCCAGTTTGCTTCCAGACTGTTTTCTTAGGTTGAGAGACTGAAAACATTTTCAAAGGCATTGAGTGACAGCAGAGCAGCAAAGTTGGTGGAGCACAAAGTATCTGAGGACTAAGTAAAATGATACAGTAGATCACCTAGTGCAGTGTCTGTGACATGCTGAGATTTCATAAAACAGCACTAATGATAAGAATTCACCTAGTACTTGAATGGATTCCTAATCCTCATTTACAGGGAAATACAAGGAGGCTTAGAGAAACAAAATGACTTTTTTAAAGCCATGCAGCTAATAAGTTGCAGGACTTGTGTTTGTAGCTGCATTACTGTGCCACATGACCTCTCTGACGCCGTATCAAAGGAGCAATGTGAAATCCTGTAATAGAAAAAGTCTTGAAAATACATAGCCATAAACTGGTCAAAAGAAGGATTGGGAAACCATTCCATAGCATGCTGTCCACAAATTAGTTATTTGACTCCATTTACTTTCTATCAGATTTTCTGCTTTTATATGGCATAATGTAAGTGTTCATTAATGTCATCATCCTTTAATAGACTATATTAACATGATACAGTTTAAACTTTTTTTTTGAAAGCTGCTCATGATCTAAATCTAAGCCATCCAAAACGGTAGCCACTAGACACATGTAGCTATTTAAATTTCAGTGTAAATAATTAAAATTATAGTTCACTATTCAGTGGCACTGGCCATGTTCCAAGCATCAATAGCAGCACGTGGCATTGTTTTGGGCAGTGCAGATTTAGAACATTGCCATCATCACAGAACGGCGGGAGGGGCGGGGGAGGGTAGTGTAGACTCATACACTTTGCACTGTTGTATGGAACAGCAGGCCCTGTTTCCAGTCCATTGTTCTGAAATGTAGAGGCAGCTGTGGCTTCTGCTGTGGCAGGACTCACAGAGCAAACGCAGCAGCTTGTCAGGAATGACATTCTGTAGTAGCCGCATCTCTGTGTCTTTGTACTTACCTCACTGATGCGCACTTAATTCCTCAAAGACTCTGGTGGTTCATGATATTTGATATTCAGACAACTGTTTTACTAGGTTCAGAAGCTACGTTTAAACGTAGCTGAAAAGTGAGAAATTGGATTTTCAGTTAATTCCTGATATTTATTTGTACCTTATGTATGTAAGTCAAAATTGCCTACATTTTCATTTGGTGCAGTGAAGAAGTAAGCTGTAAGTGTTGATTATTTCTGCAGCCATGTGATGATGTTGCTCTGTGTCTCCTAGTCATTCAAAGACTCCTGCCATAAATTCTACCAGGCAGAGATGGAAGAGGTTGACTTTATCAATGCTACAGAAGAGTCCAGAGAACACATCAACACCTGGGTAGCTGATAAGACGGAAGGTGAAAATACAGCATTGCTCTATCTTAACAGTATCTTAATCGGTCTCATTGTCAATTCTTTCACAAGACCATCAAAATGTAAAGAGGAATGATGTTTTTCTCTAAATAACTGCAGGCTTTTAAAATCTGCTTCTGAAATACTGTCAATGTGTCTTATTTTCTCTAGTTCTTCCCTGTTCTCATCAATGTCTCTGTGATGTCTCTCAGTATTCAGTACAGCTGTTCCAGAACGATCCACTTTGTTGCCATTGCTGTTGTTAATGTTAATATACAGTCTTTCTTTTCACAAATACTGTAAAGAAAAGATCCAGATACAGTTCTCATTCTGTACAGATTACTGTGTGTTATTTCAGGACACTTGGTTAAGCCCTTAGGCACCTGTGGCTCTTAGACTCTTGTGTGTACTCCTAGCCTCTCACCTTTCTGACCGTCCCTTTCTTCAAGGGACGAAGCATTCCCTTCTGTCTGACTTGTGAATTCATCCTGTGTTTTGTCCGAGGGATGGAATTTTTCTTGCCAGGGCTTTTAAAGTTTTTGTTGCTGCTGTTGTTATAAAGACCAGAATCCCCTTATGTGGTTATATTTGGGAGATGATGAACTCTTTATCTGTGAACCTCACAAGGGGATTGTCCAGTCTAGATATTATCCCTGATGAATGCATCAGGAAACTCTTTTTTTAAAATTTAAATTTCAGTTAACATACAGTGTAATATTAGTTTCAGGTGTACAGTATACTGATTCAACACTTCTGAGCACTCCTCAGTGCTCATCAAGATAAGTGTCCTTTTAGGAGTGCTGGGGTGGCTCAGTCAGTTGAGCGTCCGACTTCAGCTCAGGTCATGATCTCACGGTCCGTGGGTTCGAGCCCCACTTTGGGCTCTGTACTGACAGCTCAGAGCCTGGAGCCTGTTTCAGACTCTGTGACTCCCTCTCTCTCTGACCCTCCCCTGCTCACGCTGTCTCTCTCTCTCTCAGAAATAAATAAAACATTAAAAAAAAAAAAAAGATAAGTGTCCTTTTAATCCCCTTTACCTGTTTCAGCCACTCCCCTGCCCATGTGCCCCCTGGTAACCATCAGTTTGTTCTCTATAGCTAAGAGTCTGTTTTTTAGGTTTATCTTTCCCGGTCTTTATTCCCCCTTTGTTCCTTTCTTTTGTTTCTTAGATTCCACATATAGTGAGATCACATGGTGTTTGTCTTTCTCTGACCATCGGTAAATTCACTGATTCTTTAATTCTTCTTTTCAGGTAAAATTACACAGTTGTTATCTTCAGGTTCAGTCGACCCAATGACGAGTCTGATTCTCGTGAATGCCATCTATTTCAAAGGAAACTGGGATAGTCAGTTTAACAAAAGGCAGACCATGGAAAGACCCTTTAAAGTCAGCAAGGTAAATATTTCATATTAACAAAGGAGATTCTTGGAAACAGTCCGTGTGTTCACACTGGTTTTTAAAACATGCAAGAAAGCTCACCTCAAGTAGCTTGTGCCGCACGTGGCCTTAGGCAGCCCAGCATAAGGACCCCCCAGAACACCTTCCCTTACTGCTTTGCTGTCTCATCAAGGGTAGCTCCGTACTCAGAGGATTCTGGTCCCATTGCCCGTGTCACCTGCCATACTGTTGCTAGGTGTTCTTTCTACAGTCACAAATCTGTTGTCAGTTGTCAGGCTTACGGTGCTTTCTGGCTTTCCAGAACTTCTGAGATAAAGTTTGGACTCCACAATATGGTATGTAAGGCTCTTTGCAGACCGGATCCTACCCCTTTATTCCCATTTCTCTATGTTTATTCCCATCAGTACCTGTATACTCCTTCCTTTCCAGAAGCATCTGGAAACCTTCCCTAAGAGTCCTCCTCTCCTGTGGGGATTTCTTTCTCCTCCTCTCAGTGGCCACAGTGCCCCCCTGCCTACCTCTCGGGGCTAGCATTGCAGAGGTTGGATACCCAGTTAGATCTTCTAAGCAGACATGAACCTGAACTTTCAGTTTCTCAAGAAATGTATTTTCCTTTGAGCTTTATTCTTTAAAAATTTTTTTACATTTATTTATTTTTGAGACACAGAGAGACAGAGTGCAAGCAGGGAAAGGACAGAGAGAGAAGGAGACACAGAATCCAAAGCAGCCTCCAGGCTCTGAGCAAGCTGTCAGCACAAGCCGGACTTGAGGCTCAAACCCACGAACCATGAGATCATGACCTGAGCCGAAGTCGGATGCTCAACTGGCTGAGCCACCTAGGCACCCTTATTTTTTATTTTTTAATTTTTTTAATGTTTATTTTTCAAGGAGGGAGACAGAATGCAAGTGGGGTAGGGGCAGAGAGACAGGGAGAAAGAATCTGAAGCAGGCTCCAGGCTCCAGGCTCTGAGCTGTCAGTGCAGAGCCTGATGTGGGGCTCAAACACACGAGCTGTGACATCATGACCTGAGCTGAAGTCGGACACTTAACTGACTGAGCCACCCACCTGCCCTGCTTTGAGTTTTATTCTGAAACCAGCTGCCCTATTTTCACCTGGGTACATTATTTCTCTCCTTGAAATTAATCTTTAACAAGATGTATATTAGGACTTGATTCGTGGAAAGTTCATGTCCCCTAGCAGAGGCCTACAGGTGGGCATGGAGTGTGGCTGCCAGGGTACTGGGGTGGCAGGTGCTCCCAGGGAACCAGTTCTCTGTCTTCCTGCTCTGCCATGCTTAGCACGTGGCCCACTTTCAAAGTCACAGTCATGGTATCCACCATCCAGGCCGGAGGAAAGGAAAGGACACAAGGCAGAGCAAAAGTCTCCTTCAGGGTTCTGATATTCAGAAAGTGAAACCTGTCTTCTGTAACTCATGGGCCAGAATTAGGTTCTCTCTCCTGTGTGGCTTCTGCTATAGCTGTGGGGGAGGTGAAGTCTTCTAGAAGTCTTGCTTCCTCATCTCCCCAGTAGAGAAAGAGGAGTGTCGTAGGTGTTGAATGCACAGGCCTATGGGGATAGGGGGTTGTTGTGCCTGAAAGTGAACAGATTTTGAGTTTATCTGGATTTTTAAAATTCCTTTATTTCTAAATAAGATGAAACTTAATCTACACTATTGTATATTTAATGAATCATTCTCTTACTGAGATTGGATCCTTTTATCTTCTAAGACTAGGGGCTTTGAGCCCTGGATGGGTACAAGGAGAAATTGTCTCAGGCAGGGCTCAGCAAACTGCAGCCTGAGGTCAAAGCCAGCCCACCACTGTTTGTTTGTTTTTAAATAAAGTTTTAATGGAACACAAGCATGTCTATTTGTTTAAATATTTTAAGCTACAACTGTAGAGTTGAGTAGTTGGGACAGAAATTGGGTGGTCCATAAAGGCTAAAAATATTTACTGTCTGGCCTGTGATAGAACAAGTGTGCTGACAACCGGCCGAGGAGGTTAATGAGGAACGAGAGGGCAGGCGTGGCTCAGGCCAGTTTAGGCGAGCCTTTGCAAGGCACCGATGGAAGGCTGTAACAGAAGTTTCTTCCATTTAATGCAGAGTAATGTGCTGCCCCAGAGAACTGGGAACCGCAGCATGGGGCCAGACAGATGCAGAGCAGCTATAGGTCTTACACTGCACGTGAGTCAGGAGTGGAGGAGGGCTGTTGGCTGGGATGTGGTCGCTGTCCTTGGGCCTTTCTTACTGCCTGGCTGGGGATGTACTGGTGACAAATGCATTTTTCTCCTAGTAAGATGTGTTCATTTTGCCTGGTCCTTTCAGTTTTCCTGTCCTTTAATTGTTTATCCATTTATTCAGCAGATGTTGGTTTGGGACCAGGCATCATGCCAGGTACTATCACAGTGTACAAAACCAGCGACACATCCCTCCCATGAAGCTTGTCTTCCTGGGGATGAGACAGTGAGCATAAATAAGAAAAGAGCGTATGAGTTAGTGGCAGTGATCCAGAGACAGACACAGTGGAGGGGCACAGGTTGTTGGTGGGGGTACGGTTTCAGGTGGGCTCTCCTGGGATGGCACTTACTGGGATTGCCCATGGAACCATCAAGGGGCAAAGGGAGGTGGGAGCACAGGGCATACGAGATAAGCTCTTGTCAGCCTTCCAGGTCTTATTAAAGACTTGGGATTTTTTTACTCCTTGGGAGTAGAGGGGGAGCTGCAGAAAGGTGTTCAACCACAGAGTGATTTGATCTCATTTATGTTAATATTTTAAAAGCAGAGCCAATCCGATTTGCTGAGTCCATTGTGGGGTGAAAGACAGGAGTTTTTGATGATGGGATGAGTGGCATTGCTGTCACCTGAGCTGGAGAACATTGTAGATGGAGCAGACCTGGAAGGGAATATGAGGAGCCCTGTATGACACGTGACATTGGAGCCTTCTTTAATGTACAAACACAAGTGCCAAGTCAGCAGTAAGATGTTTGGGAGTGTAATATATCTGGAGTTCGCAGGAGAAGTCCCAGCTAGAAATCTAAATTGGAGAATTCTGTTTAAAGTCACAAGATTGAGGTCACTGGGAGACACACAGTCTAAGGACTGAGCCCTGAGTACCCCAGGGTTTGGAGGATGAGGGAATGAAGATGGGCTGGCAGAAGAGGGGGCTGAGGTGGTATTCTGAAAACCACGGAAGTGTTTGTAGAACCCAGGCTGGCCAGTTCTGTCGATTTGTCTGATGTGTCCACTGGGTCTTACTTCAACTTAACATTCATCTGTTTCCTTTTTTAGAATGAGGAGAAACCTGTGCAAATGATGTTTAAAAAATCCACCTTTAAAATGACCTATATCGGAGAAATATTCACCCAGATTCTGGTGCTTCCCTATGTGGGCAAAGAGCTGAATATGATCATCATGCTTCCAGATGAAAACACTGATTTGAAAACGGTAACAAATGCTGAGTGATCATCACTCTGTGATGGCAGGGGGATGGTGTGAACAGTTTCTGAAGCTAGCATCACTTCCTGTTACTACCGTCTTGCCCCGCAGAGCCCAGAGCATTCACATCCCAGCAGACAGATCTGTTGGGCAGCACTGGTCTGGATCTAAAAATCTTCAACTCTCTCCTTCTAGGTGGAGAAAGAAATCACTTATGAGAAATTCACAGAATGGACGAGGCCAGACATGTTGGATGAAGAAGAGGTGGAAGTGTTCCTCCCTAGATTCAAACTGGAGGAGAATTACGATATGGGGAACATCCTTTGTGCTCTGGGCATGACCGACGCCTTCGATCAGGGGAAGGCAGACTTTTCTGGAATGTCGTCCAGGAAAGACCTCTATCTGTCCAAAGTGGTGCACAAGTCTTTTGTGGAAGTCAATGAGGAAGGCACGGAGGCCGCGGCCGCCACTGCGGCCATCATGATGTTGCGATGTGCGAGAATCATGCCCAGGTTCTGCGCCGACCACCCCTTCCTTTTCTTCATCCAGCACAGCAAAACCAACAGTATCCTGTTCTGTGGCCGATTCTCCTCCCCGTAAGGAGATGGTGGGCGCTGTACACGGTCCTTCTCCTCCCTCCTACTGACCTACTTTTTCTCTGACACTTCACAATGTGCCTACAATGCAAAGTGACCTTTGGTGACAATCCAAAAATAAAAGGCCCAGTTTTGAAATCCCATGTTCTAGACTCCTGTATGTCCATGTGTTCACATGTCTGATGTTCCTTAGGATCTGAAACTGCCATTCAGGAAGGTCTGTGCTCATGTCGGCCGGGCCAGCACGGGCTGCTTAGCAAATCCCCCTGCTCTGAGAGGTCCCATCCATGCTCACAGCCGCGAGGCCCTCAGGTCTTCACTTAGGGGCAGAGTGTAGCTCTTCTCCAGGCACAAGAGGGTACCTGGTGCTCTCTCTCCTCTACTCAGTGGCACTGTCAGTGAGGGGACAGGGTGATGCAGCCTGTGAGGAGTGGCAGGCCATGGAGACCCCCCTGGCAAGCTCTATCCCAAACTTGTTGCAAGCACCCCAGAAGCCTGCAGAGAAGCAAGGAGAGCAGTTACCTTAGACTGGGGAGAAAGCACCTGTTGGCCACCTGTGTTTCTGCTTTTATTGTCACTTGTAATCCTAGAGATCTGCGGCCACACACCTGTTCAGATGGACAACAGCCAGTTTCCATGAATGATTTAAATTGCCACAAGGGGCCAGAGATGGTCAGGCAGGTTCCTTTCATAGTGGTGCAGTCTAAGACCTCATCATGAGTTGTAAATACCAGACAATTTTGTTTTACTGCAAGCCTTAGAGGAAAATGTGGCAAGGTTTCTGTGGCCACTTGTGTTACTTGCTAGAAACGCAATCACCATGCTTAGAGACACTCTAACCTATTGATGCGTGGGGTTCAAGTGGGAGGGCTGTGCTCTGTTTTGGGGACAGCCTCAAGGACTTCGTCCAGGACCTATCCTGATGCGATCAGAACTTAACTGACGCGATTTATATTTCCTTTCTGTTGCTGGTCCGCTTTCTCCATTGTACCCAAGCCAGCAGCTTAGCCGTGGGGAGAGGCTGGTGATGAGGGAAACAAAGGCAAGAGAAATGTAGCTTACAATTAAATCTCCTTGCAGCCGGCAGCTGGCTAGTAAACACCTGAAACATACAGAGCCTGACTTTCCTAAAGAAACTCATGCTGCCTTAGTGCCTTCATGTTTATGTTTTATTTAAGTGAAGAGCAACCTTATCTTAGCAGCTAGCTCCTCAAGGTCCTAAAAGCCTTGCTTCAAAATTCCTTAAAAACTTACTTTATCCCTATCTCCCTCCGTCCACAAACTTGGAAGTATATAATCAGTCACTCCTCACAATCCCAGGGCAGCCCTTTCTGCCTACAGGTCCTGTCCCCATGCTATGATAAAATCACCTTTTTGCACCACAAACGTCTCAAGAATTTTTCTTAGCCATTTGCTCACAAACCACACTTCATAATTTCATCAGCTGGGACTGAAGACACAATGTTATGAGTGGTTTGAGGGGCTATGTGGGGTTGCTGGTTGGGTCACTGTCATACCCCGCCCCCCCCCCCCCCCCCCACCTGCCCTGCCCCGAGCACTGTGTGTGTTTGCTGCTGTCTGGAGAAGTGTCAGGCTGTGTCAGTAGGAAGTTACAAAAATGAACACCAGTGGCCGTGTTCTAGACCTATAGACCTATAGCACAGTAAGACCTTAACCATGTGAAAGGCCACAGTGCATACAGAATAAACAACATGCGTATGCTCTAAGAGCTCCCACAGAATTCTCTCTAAAACTGTAGCTGTCAAATTGCCTTTGGAGGGTCCCTCAACATCTAATTTTAGTAAAAGGCACAGTCACCAGAATAATGTTTCTACATCTTTTATGAAATTGCACCAGAAGACATTTCCATTATGTTCTGCAGTGTTTCCTGTAAGGATCTACAAGATAAAATCCTCCCAGGATTTAATTCTAGGAAGAAGTTAGTCCCAACCACTTACAAAGGTTTACGGAGCACCTGCCTTGCATTAGGTGTTTTACATAGATGATTTTATTTGATCCTCAGCAATGAATAAACCCGGGAGGAATCTGAGGCCCGGGGGTTAAGTAACGTGAACAGTTTCTGGCAACCAGCAAAGGGACAGAACTCCAAACCTCGGCTTCTGGGGAGTTGAGTGGAGACCGCGGCTCCCACTAGGACAGCCAATCAGCAAAGCTGTGCCTGAGAGCAAGAAATGTCCCAGCCTCCCATGAGAAGTCTCGTTTCTCAGCTTCTGTTTTCCCCTCTGGAAAAGCGGGGCTGCGACATTTCCAGCCCTGAAAACCCACGAAGTACTGGATCCCGAACAACGGCCCTGGGTGTGGAACCAGGGCCGGTGCGGCAGGCCCTAGGAAAGCCGCCAGGGCGCCCGCCTCCCCGGGACCGCCCGAGCGAGGTGCTGCGGTCCCCGCCCCTACGATTCCGCCGCGGTTCTCGGAGGAGTGGCCTCCGGGCCGCGGCCTCGCTGAGCTTGCAGGTGCGGACGCCTGGGAGGCCCTGCGCACGGGGTAGTGGCGTCCAGGGGCGCCCTCTGCGCGCTGACCGCCGCGAGGCTGAGGCCGGGCCGCAGAGCTTGCGTGGAAGTGGATGGACTGCGGGGCTCGCACACCAGCCAGTTCTCATCTTCCGTGCTCGCTGGTGGGCAGCACGAAGCCGGGCTCCGTTGGCGTTCCTAGCAGGTGGAGGCGGGGGACTGGGGCACGGGGGTGGAGAATCCTAAGAGTGGCGGCCGCTGGAGCTGGGATTTGGATGCACCTAAGGAAGTTTCGGAGTCCTGGGGTCATGCACTACTGAGCCCCCTTCCACGCTCGGATTTCAATGCTATTTCTTAAGATCTGTTCCGTAGTGGGCATGACCCAGAAATCTGGTCGTCGGGATCATCTTGAGCAGTAATCCAAAATCCCGTGGCTTCAGGTGAGTAGAAGAGCTGCAAGAAATTTATACACTGACATGTTGAAAATAGGTTCCAGGATTGTAGGTGGGTTTTGCATATTATTATTATTTTTTGGAAACTACACACACACACACACACACACACACACACATACATATATATAAAATTTTTCTACAACGAATGTGTATTCTTATATAATCATGAAAAATAAAAACTGCACAGGCACGAGAGTCTCTGTTATATTGTGGAGTAGGATGTGCAGAGTCTGTTCTTTCCTTTTAAAAAGAATATAGTCACTGTGCTGTGCATTACATGCCCAAGATTTATTTCGTATACCTGGAATTTTTTTTGCCTGGAAGTTTGACCATCTTCACCCATTTCACTCACCTTTGCCCCAGCCCTCAGCTCTGGCAACCACCAGTCTGTTCTCGGTATCTATGAATTTGGGTGGTTTACCCCTTTGTTTTAGATTCTCGTTGTAAGTGAGATCACATAGTATTTGTCTTACTCTGTCTGACTTACTTCATTAGCATAATGCCCTCAAGGTCCATCTATATTGTCACAAAGAAGGATTTCTTTCTTTTTTTTTTTAAGGCTGAATAATATTCCTGTGTGTGTGTGTGTGTGTGTGTGTGTGTGTGTGTGTGTGTATCTGTGTGTCTGTGTGTGTTTATCACGTTTTCTTTATCCATTTATCCATCAGTTGGCACTTGGGTTGTTTCCATGTCTTGGCTATTATATATAATGCTGCAGTGGACATAGGGGTGCAGATATCTCTTTGAGATAGTGATTCCATTTCCTTTGGATATGTATCTAGAAATGTAATTGCTGGATCATATGGTTTCACTAATTTATAATCCCACTAACAGTCCACAGGGGTTGCCAACACTTGGGATTTCTCATCTTTTTGATATAAAATCATTCTAGTAGTTATGAATTGATTATCTCATTGTGGCTCTGATTTGCATTTCCCTGATGATGAGTGATGTTGAGCATCTTTTCAGTTGTCTGTTGTCCATCTGTATGTCTTTTTTGGAAAAATGTATATTCAGTTACTCCCAGTTTTTAATTGGATTGTTTGGTTTGCCATTGAGTTATGTCTATATATTTATCTATCATCTATCTATAAAATATATAAATATATAGATAACATAAATATGATTTCTTCTCAGATGTATGATTTGCAAACATTTTCTCCCATTTTATAGGTTACCTTGTCATACCAGTTCATACCATTCCTTAGGAGACCAGTTTTGGTGATGGATTCCTTTATGGAAGCTTTTTAGTTTGAAGTAGTACCACTTGTTTGTTTTTGCTTTTGTTGCCTTTGCTTTTGGTGTCAAATCCAAGAAAAAATCATTGCCAAGACCAATGTCAAGGAGCTCACCCCCCCACACCATGTTTTCTTTTAGGAGTCTTATGATTTCAGATCTTACATTTAAGTCTTTAACTCATTTTGAGTTATTTTTTTTGTGTACAGTGTAAGATAGTGGTCCAGTATCATTCTTTGCATGTGGCTGTCCAGGTTTCTCAACACTATTGAAGACTGTCTTTTCTCTATTGTGTAGTCTGGGCTTCTTTGTTGTGAATTAATTGACCATATATGTGTGGGTTTGTTTCTAGCTCTCTAATATTCTGTTAATGTATTCTAGCGTCAATCTATGTATCTTGTTATTTTAAACCCAACTTGCGTTTGATTACTATAGCTTTGTAAAATAGTTTGAAATTGGGAAATGTGATCCAGCTCTGTTCTTTCTCAAAATAGCTTTGACTCTTTGGGGTCTTCTGTGGTTCCACACACTTTTTAGGATTGTTTGTTCTATTTCTCTGAAAAATTTGCTGATTTTTGTATATTGATTTTATATCCTGCAACTTTGCTGAATTTGTTTGTAACAGTTCTTTAGTTTGTGTGTGGAGTCTTCAGGGACTCCACAGGGATATATATATATATATATATATATATATATATATAAAATATCATCTGTAAATAAAGACAACTTTACTTCTTTCCAATTTGGATGTCTTTTATTTCTTATTCTGCTTAATTGCTTTGGCTGAAACTTCCAGTACTGTGTTGAATAAAAGTGTTGACAGTTGGCATCTTTGTAATGTACCTGATATTAGAGAAAAATCCTTCAGTTTTTCACTGTTGAGTACGATTTTAGCTGTGGGCCTGTCATATATGGCCTTTACTATGTTGAGGTATGTTTCCATTACACCCACTTTGTTGAGGTGCACTTTTATCATGAATG